TTAAAAAACATGATTTCTGCCCGCCCCTCACCCCCCTCATTGCCCCGGGTTAGAACTCCCATAGTATCCCTACTATTAGAAATTCGTTCCTGATGCAAGTTACTTATCAATTTACATATAACTATGAAATGTAAATGTAAATTGATAAATTTTATCAACCTATCATGATTATTAAACTCTAACTATAAAATAACAATAGAAGTTACAATTAAGCTTTTCTACCATTTACATGCAAATATGAATATAAATTAAAGCAAATAAGATTATTTTAATCTATAACAAAATTTACGAAGTAATGCATTTTATTTTAAATTGCAAAGGGAATCGACATATTCTAAAGAATAATACCTAAAATATATAGATATCGTTCGTAAAGTAGTAATTAGGTATGAAACCCGCTTTATTATGTGAACTCGGCTTTACTCTTAAGAAACATCTAAAAGATTCTAGAAGGTTCTAGAAAGACAGTTGAGAACCGTTACATTCCAGAAGCATGATGCAAAGCATGATGCAACGCTGAAACACGTTGCAACCTGCAAGGCCCGTTGCAAGCCGCGTAGCGGTGAGTCACTAAAGAAGCACCGCTATCGCTACCAAGAAGAAGATAAGATAAGTCGGAGCGCATAGCCAACAAAGGCATACCGCTATCGCTACCGAGAATAGGATAAGGAAAGTCGGAGCGCCCGGCGATGAGTCATCAAAGGAACGCCGCTATCGCTACTAAGAAGCCATCTCTCCGGGACTTAACCGTCGCAATCTCTACCAGGAACAGATTGTCTCCGGTACTTCCCCGGCATACCTCTCTTGCCATTGGCTAAGCCGCATCGCCCGATGGGAGGAGCGAGCCACATTTTACGGTATATAAACCCTGCACCCGGCACGGAACGGCAGTGATTTCGTCGCAGTGGTTCCAGTCAACAACAATCCAGCACTCAACCAGCAAATACTACGGGGTCCTGAAGACATAGCCGCCATTTTGGTGAGACACAGCCGCCATTTCGGACCGAGGTACCGAGGCTCCTCAGATCTTCAGACTCAGAGGGAAGAACACAGTAGCGAAGTGTACCATAGTAAGGCACATTAGACATTGTCTAACCTTGTGAGTATTTAAGCCAGTTCACATATCCCTAAATAGTAAAGCGCGACGGGCACTCATTATATTTAATCATTATATTTAATTATTCAATATTAACTCAATCTTACATTACTTTTCGAACTCTGAATTTTGAGCATAGACATAAGCCACATATTACTCTGCGTTTCCGATATTATTTCAATCTACGATTTGCATCTGCATACGTCTGCGTTACAATCGTCGATCTATTCAATATTTTATCCAATACTATTCAATATTATTTAACCGATATCGCATACTTATTCAACCTATTATAATAAATATACTTATGTATTTTATTATATCACTGCTTATTTATATATGTATGTAACCCTGTATCCTACCACATATTAGCGAATTGAATGCCGCTAATTCCTCTGTACACATTAGAAACTATATCCTGTCAGAAGGTACATTCGCAAGTCATCTCTGAGGTGCACGTTTAGTAAAGTGAACGTCGCATTAGCCTATTAAGACAAGGACCAGAGAACCCAGCCTAGCCGGATGAACACCTATCTCTCTATCGCTTTTACGCTTTTATTACCTTGCATTTTCCAATAGTTGCGAATACTTTACCACACCAACTGACAGTGATTTTGCATATTGATATTCGATTCATTTGACAAGTGTACACCACCTGACCCTATTTACTACCAATAGAAATATACCCTGTCATAAGGTACATTCGCAAGTCATCTCTGAGGTGCACGTTTAGTAAAGTGAACGTCGCATTAGCCTATTAAGACAAGGACCAGAGAACCCGGCCTAGCCGGATGAACACCTATCTCTCTATCGCTTTCACGCTTTTATTACCTTGCATTTTCCAATAGTTGCGAATACTTTACCAAACCGAATGACAGAGGTCTTGATAATTACTAAGAATTATTACTTCAATATTTAAAACTTAAATCTTTGATGCTTGAAAGTACAAGTATTAATATTCTTGATATAGATATTAATACACGTACTAAGATTCCTTTCCTATTCCACATTATTATCAATTCTCTTTCAGTATCGTCTGATTATAATTATAATTGACAAACGCTTAATTAATTAACAGGTGAAGGGCATTCTCGTATAGATTAACCTTTCATCTCGTCTCTAACTCTCTAACACGTAAATCACGACTTAAACGTGAGTCACATTCAATTACCTTTGATTATTTAACTATCTCAGTTCTATTAAACATATTATTCATATAAATTTATTTAACCATTAGATGGTCTCTCCCTTCCGAAGGAAGAATCAAATTGATCGCGACGAGCAACGTCTCCACAGACTACGCGAACGTAGGACAAGAAGAGTCTTAAATTTACACGTCCAAATATTTCCTACGCGAGTAATCGTTCGATCCCCTTCTCCAGACGTTTATTCGCCTATAAATAACCTTCCGCCCTACATTGATTATTCTCACCCGCAATTTCCGGAGCCCTCGCCGTTAGAATCAAATACGTTAATAACGAACCCTAATCATCAATTCTTACCCGATCCTGAATATTATATCCCGGATCAAAATCTACCAATCACATCTCCAGAGTACGACCCCCTTTTACAATTTAACAACGAACAAACTTTTCACATTCTCAACGAGGGCACCGCGAATCTCACTCACGACGTCGATAACGTCATCCCCGAGGAAGCGCAAGATAACTTCACTTCTTTTATAACTTACCTCAACCAGCCTAACAATCCGGAACTGGAGCTCAGTCATATTGTAACTCAATTTCAAGCTCCCCACGAACCACGTCAGGACCAATAAACTTTATATCGACGTAAAGGTTTTATAAATGAATAAATGACATTATATTTGTAAAATATCTTTATTTATCGACCCGACCCGTCAGTTTCCTTCTCCGTCCGATACTCTCAATCGAATCTCAAGCTCTCGGCTTCCCTGGGTATAGCCGGCCTAGCAGGTTGCCCATAAAACAAATAGAGAGCAGCTTCTTAAACGTCCACCGAGGTAGACGCGAGAGAAGACCGTCTTGTGCAGAAGGTAATTTATCGCTAGATGAATTATTGGACGTAACAGATAATTAAATATAATGATTAAATATAATGATTAAATATAATGGGTGCGTTCCGTGTTGCGCATGAAACGCATAGACTGCAATACTGATGCGCAACGCTTCGAAATCGTTCCGTTTTTTCAATGCGCGCGTGAAGTGCATGAGTGCTTGAGAATTTCGGAACGATTTCCTAAGCGATCTATGCGAATTGAAAATGGACGCCGTACGATACAATAATCGAATTTCATCAGCAACAATTATTTCTTCATTGATATTTTTAAACAATGAAAGTGATAGCTCCGAATCGAGTGACAGTGAAGAAGATGAAATTTCGCTTAGTGACATGAAAACTTTGTATCTTATACTAATGATAGACAAATCACGTGGAGAAATGATTGCCACGGAAAAAATTACAGACTATGTTGATCGCGTGATTCCTAATTATTCCAATACCGTATTTAAAGAACATTTCAGGTAAGCGTGTCACCATATAACATATTGTTTAATTATCAAGTTGGAATCTTATTCATTTGGTTTTATTAAATTATATAATTTAACTTATAACATAACCTAACTTTCTAGAATGTTTCCGGCAACATTCGAAATGGTTTTATCATTGATCGGACCAGCGTTAAATGCCACATCCACTGTAACTGGTAGGAAACCAATTTCAGCAGAAAAACAATTATATATTGCCCTTTGGTTTATGGCTACTCCTGATTCGTACAGGTTAGTAAATCCTACTTTATACAGAGTTCTCTGTTCATATTAGCAAAACGTTATAGCCTAATTCAAACTGTATGCAGCAAATATCAGAGCAGCAGCCAATGCTGTGCGCCCAAAATCCAACAGTGTTGATTTGGGACGAGCAGCATTGGCTCCAATGCTTGCTACTTGCTGCGTGCAGTCTGAATTGGGCTTATGAGTAATCACAACTTCAAATACTTTGTATTTGTGACAAGTTTTTTAATTTTTACTTTGTGAATTGTTTTAGATCAGTTTGCACTAAATTTGGAGTTGGCAAAGCAACTGCTTTCAGAGCTGTCAAACGTGTTGTGTATGCACTTCATTGCATCGCACCTAGATTTATTCAGTGGCCGAATGAAGATGTTGCCGCCAATATTATGGAACAATTCGAAAGCATTTGTGGCTTCCCAAAAGTGATTAGTGCCATAGATGGTACCCACATCAAGATCCGAGCTCCATCAATTGATGCTGTTTCATATATAAATCGGAAAGGTTTTGCATCTTTAAACGTGCAAGTAGTGTGTGATTCGCGTGGCCTTTTCACGCACTGTTATGCAGGAGAAGTAGGATCGGTGCACGATGCTAGAGTTTTTAGAAACTCCCCCGTAGCACGTTTTCTTGAGACACCTGACCTATATTTTCCTAATGGCTCATATATTATTGGAGATGCTGCATATCCCATACATCCACACCTTTTGGTTCCATTTCGAGACAATGGACATTTGTTAAACAGACAAAAAAACTTTAATTATTGCTTGTCAGCAACGAGAATGGTGGTTGAACGTGCAATTGGGCAGTTAAAACTGCGTTTTAGAATACTGTTAGATTGTCTACCATTGACGAACGTCAAAAAAATTCCACAATTTATAATAGCATGTTGTGTGTTACATAACATATGCATATTACAAAATGATGTAATAACTGTTGGTATTCAACATTATGACCAGGACGAATTACAACAACCTGTTCGCAACAATAACACTGAACTAGGAAATGCTACAAGAATGAGAGTAATGAACGAATTGCAAATGAAGCTTCAATTGATTGATGAATAAATGTACAATGATTGTAAATTATGAATTTCTAAATAAATGTAATAAACAAGCAGTCTTTTATGTTTAATTTTTTATTTTATTATTGCTATTATCACATTTAATCTTATAAAACTATTCTTTATTCTAAATATTTTTCTTAACCACCTTCAGAATACTTCAATACGTTAAAAAAATACTTTAAGAAATACATTAAAAAATATCCTTGCATCTTTGGAATCTATATGCTCATTAAGTATAACATAAGAACAAATTTTTAAAATTTAAAAACAGAACTTAAAACTCATAACTGATCAAAACTATAGAATAAATAGTTTTGTAAACTATTATTTTAAATAAAACAAGCTCTCCTATTGGAGAGATGAAATCCGGAACGGATTAATCCGTACCAGTTGAAAACGCTACAAACACATCCATATCATTTACTAGGAGATGGAACAAACCGCATTTATTTATTTAAAAATTGCTGCAATATGGAGATTAATGATCTCTGCACTTCCATTTGCTCGTTATGTCTCTTCTCACGATCTTTTCTTTTTTCTTCGCGTACTTTTTCTTGGTTTGTTTCTCTTCTTTTCATTTCTTCTCTTGTTTCTTCCTTTTCAACCTTAATACGTTCAATGAACTCTTCCACAACATGTTCTATTCGCTTTCTCTTTCTCGGTGGACCTGTAATACATAATACAAAAACAACTATTACGTTGACCCTAAGATCTGAGACACAAATTTACAAATACACATTCAAATACTTAAAAAAAAATTACTACAAATACAAATACTTACTTTTCAATTCAGGGGTTTCAGTGATTGATGACAAAGATGATGACGATCCTTCGATATTTGGGTCTGATGGACCGTCACTGGTGGCAATTGCAGGAGCTCTAGTTGACGCTTTATTGCCAAATATCGAATCCATAACCTAGTACATCATATAAACAATGTATAAAATAATACACAAATAATATACATATTAATTTCATTACACGCATGTGAAGATATTGCATACAAAAAATAAAATAAACGTATACTATATAAATTTCTACTAATAATAATAAATATCTATATCTTTACCGAAAAAAATGCCCACGAACTTCTGTGATTGCCACTCTTCTTATTTTGATCAACAATGTTTTTATAGGTTCGTTTTAATCCAGACATTTTTGTGGCACATTGGTTTGATGTAACTTCATACTCTGGGTTAAAATTTTTCATCTGGGCAGCAATTTCCGCCCAAATTTTATTGCTGCGCTTTAAACCATTAGAGAAATCTTCTTCTCTTTCTCTGTACATATCTAGTAGTAAAAGTACAGCTTTGTCTGGCCATACAAACATCTTCTTCTCTAAAAAAAAATGTTAAATTAAAAATTAACACAAATTTTAAGTAAGAAATATTAACATTTATATATTATAATTAAACTTGAGTAAACATACTTGTACAATAACAAAAAATTAAAGAGTTGTTTAGAGACATTGGTGACACAAAAATAAAGTCAAAAAATAAAATCTTACCGGTATCGTTTTTGTCGACATTTTCATCTTCTGGATTATCATTTTCTTTGGAGCTCTGCTCCTTCTCAATAAGACTTAATAAAAATTTTTGATCTATAAGAAAACAATACAATAGTTAACCTAATATTTTCTAATTAATATATTATTAATTATATCGTTCTTAAATTTTACCTTTTAATGCTTTTTCAATGTCGGCTTTGTTTAAAAATAAACTAATGACTTCATTTTCTAATAAAACTGGAAATTCTTGCAATTTATCACCCATCGTACCACTTTACAGCAATTCCAGTGCCGATTCGATATACATATAGTGTGCGTTCCGAATCACGCAAGAAGCGCATAGATCGCACGAACGCATCAAACGCATCCACTGCCTCAAGTCGAAAGAGCAGCAGTCAATGCGCTGGGAGGAGTGCTAAGAATTCAGTACGGTTAGTACACTCTAGGGAATTCATAGCTCTCTCGAAGCGCTTTCGAAGCGCGCAATAGCTAACTCGGAACGACTTTCTGTGCACTCTACGCGCTTCATGCGCAACACGGAACGCACACAATGAGTGCCCGTCGCGCTTTACTATTTAGGGATATGTGAACTGGCTTAAATACTCACAAGGTTAGACAATGTCTAATGTGCCTTGCTATGGTACACTTCGCTACTGTGTTCTTCCCTTTGAGTCTGAAGATCTGAGGAGCCTCGGTACCTCGGTCCGAAATGGCGGCTGTGTCTCACCAAAATGGCGGCTATGTCTTCAGGACCCCGTAGTATTTGCTGGTTGAGTGCTGGATTGTTGTTGACTGGAACCACTGCGACGAAATCACTGCCGTTCCGTGCCGGGTGCAGGGTTTATATACCGTAAAATGTGGCTCGCTCCTCCCATCGGGCGATGCGGCTTAGCCAATGGCAAGAGAGGTATGCCGGGGAAGTACCGGAGACAATCTGTTCCTGGTAGAGATTGCGACGGTTAAGTCCCGGAGAGATGGTTTCTTAGTAGCGATAGCGGCGTTCCTTTGATGACTCATCGCCGGCCGCTCCGACTTTCCTTATCCTATTCTCGGTAGCGATAGCGGTATGCCTTTGTTGGCTATGCGCTCCGACTTATCTTATCTTCTTCTTGGTAGCGATAGCGGTGCTTCTTTGGTGACTCACCGCTACGCGGCTTGCAACGGGCCTTGCAGGTTGCAACGTGTTTCAGCGTTGCATCATGCTTCTGGAATGTAACGGTTCTCAACCGTCTTTCTAGAACCTTCTAGAATCTTTTAGATGTTTCTTGAGAGTAAAGCCGAGTTCACATAATAAAGCGGGTTTCATACCTAATTACTACTTTACGAACGATATCTATATATTTTAGGTATTATTCTTTAGAATATGTCGATTCCCTTTGCAATTTAAAATAAAATGCATTACTTCGTAAATTTTGTTATAGATTAAAATAATCTTATTTGCTTTATTTTATATTCATATTTGCATGTAAATGGTAGAAAAGCTTAATTGTAACTTCTATTGTTATTTTATAGTTAGAGTTTAATAATCATGATAGACAGGTAAAGTTTATCAATTTACATTCACATTTCGTAGTTATATGTAAATTGATAGGTAACTTGCATCAGGAACGAATTTCTAATAGTAGGTATACTAGGGGGGTTTTAACCCAGGGGCAATGAGGTGGGGTGAGGGGCGAGCAGAAATCATGTTTTTTAACTTATGAGCGCTTATATGCGAGATTAAATATTTGTTAATACCGGTCTTTCATGTAGGTTAGCGATTGTCATGACTAATATGTTAAAGAATTAATTTTTGAAAAAGATTAAAATTTTGAAATTTGTCTGAACGTTACATCTCCCCTCCTATTTGAGAATAAAACCCGACGTTGACCTAGGGTTTTGTTCGAGGTTATAAAGATGCTGCTGTAAGTCATTATATGTCTGAGGGATAGTTATATTCGTGGATTCCATTTCTCCAGGTCGTTTGGTGTTATAGCCTTGAAGTTGTGGCTGACTTATCACTGGCGGTTCTTTTGGCAGTGCGGGGGGTGCGTCTGAGATGGTGGCGAGAGGTGTGGCGTCTTCTGGGAATTTGTTCTTTTCTTCCTTTTCGTACATATTCTTGCGGCTGAGGTGAAGCAAGAGATTAGTTAGAGAGTCCCATAATGCTCCTATTAGATGTAGACTACATCCATATACGGTATGTAGTGCGTATCCGTGGATGATGGTGTCAATTGCCAATTTAGCAATACGAACGATCATAAATACTCCAACGACACCGGCCGTGGCTGATCCGAAACTCATGAATCCTTTCCATATTTTTGCTGCGGTGTTGTCTACGATTTTGTTGAGCGATTCTTCGTCTAGTAGTTTGTATAATGAGACGGAGTCGGCGTTAACTGGATGTCCAATAAGCCCACGGGCGACGGCGTTGAGCAGTGCCGGTTTCTCTGCGGGAAACATAATGTGGTCTCTCAATTTTTCTATGTCTTGTTGCGTATAGATTCCACTAACAGCTAGTGGTCCGGGTGTTAAATAACTCCAGGTAAGAGATGCCATGGGTCGTAGTTGTTGAGGTGACGACTGTCTTACTTGTGCTTTTGGCGTGAACTGTACCCAAGTGTCTTCTATCCGGTATAACGTTGGTAATTCTTGAGAACATTCTCGCTCGTTTCCGATTTTTGTGACGATTCTTGATTTGGGCGTGAGAAAGTAAGAAGCGTTTCTAACGGTTACGGGTAACTCGTTATAACATTCTTTGGTTGGACGTACGGTAACTTCTACAGGGATGCATTTTATTATCTGGACAGCTTCCCCAGTGGTGACGGCCATGTATCCCGGCGATTTCATTAGACTATACGCGAATTCATCAGGCAAGAGAGTCGCAAAGGATAAGGCGTTGGTTATTACTTGTCGTTCCAATTCACATTTTTGTTGTATGACATTATGATACAAAGATGTCATTTGATGTCGGATGTGTTTTTCAACATACACAAACTTGGAGTTCATGTAAGTGATTATATCGAGGTTATCCACAAGGATCGTACCTTTGTTGGCAAAAGTTTGGCCTTGCTTTGTTTCCAAGATAAATAGTTTCGGATGTTCCGTGCGAAGCAGAGTGTATCCGCATAATGGCTGCTCTTTGGTTTTCGTCAAGGCGAACGTGATGTCTTGCGTGGTGAGACTGTAGACGATGGGGGAGTCATCGCCTGTTATCTTGGTCGCTAGTCCCTCGTATAGGACATCGTATTGATTGAAGTTGCAGGATTTCATTGGTACTGGTTTCTAAAAGGTGTAACCGTCGTCGGAGTCCAAACAGAAGCTGTCGGCCAGTGTACAAATGGTTCCTGACCTTAACTTGATTTTACCGTGTTCGAGTTGTACTGGCACATAAGATGATTTGAGTGAGATTTTTGCGACTGCTTGAACAATTACGTTGTCCCATGTGCCGTAAGGGTCAGAATATTGCGTACCCTTACAAGTTCCATCGGTTTTTAATTCGCCAGCCAGCGTAAGGCTGTGATAAGAAGTTTGGTTGATTTTAAGTCCACTAATTAAGTGAGCAGGTCCCAAGGAAGTAGTACCGTCTTGAAACATTCGCAGGCATTGAGAATATCCGGTTTCCTGGACGTAATCTGCTTTTCCGTTAAAGACGACCGAGATGTGCGAATGCATGCCACAGTGATATATCGTGCGGGATATCTCTAGTTTTCACTGTATAACTTCTGCATAGTTATATTCGGAAAGTTGTAATAGTTGTATATAAGTTTCTGTGGAGTTTGGGGTTTGATGATGGAGATTGCATTCTCCTACATCTAAGAGGGAAACGGCGGTAATGTTGAGATGCTGTCCACCACAATCAAATCCAATCAAGGCGAACGAAGTTTTAACGGAGAGTATTAGAATAATCCCTAACATCATGACAAGCTGTAA